TCCCCATATTACAACATTAGATTTTTTTTTTACTCATTCCAAAACCGAAAAGTACACCAAAAAACTAACTCACCAGTAAATCTGATGATTTTGTTCAAAAGTTGAATAAACTGCTATTAAAAGATAAATTTTGTTTGAAAGTTGAATAACTACTATCAAAAGATAATAATGTTTGTAGCATCTTACCATTGAATTTCATGATGTTTTTCACACTTGTCAATGTTAGGACTTGATTTTATCCTTGCCAAAATTGATTATCCGCAATTCTCTTGTGCTATATTGTTATTAATTTGAAGGACAGACTGTACACTTTGCCTTTTTAAGTAAAAAATATATCTGGGTGTTTTAATTATTTGTTATTTTATTGAACATCGATTCTCGAGCATTAAGTAAAAAAGCTAACTTGATCAACATGTCTTATAACGGCAGTGTTTGCTTGTATAAGTGAATTAAGTTGATGAAATAGGCAATCAGTAAAGCTAATAAATTGTCAATTTTATTGAAATGAATCACTGCAAAGGACTTTAATTGTATTGTGAAATTTGTTTTAATTGATTCTGTATGTAAGTTTCTCCACCCATGTGAAACATTTTTACCAATGGCCGTCAGTTTTGAACTATATTGCATTGCCACTCGTCCTTTAGTTCATGTTTCATTTATCACTTCCTACAATCGAAAATGGTTTCCCCTTTTTGCCAATAAGAAAAATGCCAATCCATCGCGTGTGCTAGAAATTTATAATTTTGATGAGGGGTCTAGTGTTTGTCTTACAAGTTCGGTAGCTTTGACGGCAGTCCCCCAGCTCATGGCCACCCCGTCTGAACCGTGACCGTAGTTGTGCACCACCTGCAAGAAAAAATTGATAAAATTGCTGGTTAGTTTGCACAAAATGGTTTTGCACAAATCTGCATGACATGGTGCAAAGTTAGTCGTACTTCCACACAAGCACGTGCAACTTGTAATTTGAACCAAAATGCTTAAATGGTGCTTACCTTTGCTGTCTACTATAAAACACCATATATATATATATATATAAGTTCTCCACCGATCTCCATGCCCTAAAGTTCGAAAGTTAAAGAAACGGGAGCTCAAAGCCTAGAGCACATTTGGAATATTTCACAGGCATTTGCCAACATTCACTATTAAGAAGTCGAAATGGGATTCCCCCTTTTTTTTTTTTTTTTTTTTACTGACAATCTAGACAATTTGTGTTAAGTCATAAAACGACCGGTAAACGCTATTATTCTACCTTTTGAACTTTGCCTCCAACATTTCGAGTTTCTGTTTCAAGTCGCAGTGGTTCTCGAAAAGGCCGTACTCCCACCCAGTCGTACAACCATTCTGACGACTGAAATGTGAAAGAAAGGTTGGTTAAAAAAAGAAAAAATAGGCGCTTTTCTTCTTCTTATACTGATTAGCCATGATATCAGCAGCTGCCATATTTCAATTGATCACAAAAATGATAAGGGAGTCGATGAAATGACAAAAAGGCTTGCAATATTACATAAACTGACATAACATTCAACATCTACGTAAAACTTACCCTGAGAGACGGTTGCAATTTGCAACACTTTTCCCATATCATTTTCTTGTCATCCTCATTTGGCACTAGGTTATAGTTATCCCTCTGCCTTGTTCCTCCAAGAACTACGTTAGAAGTGCTAACGCAAAATATTGGCAACATTAATTGGCATTAATCTGTCCTTACTTAAAAGTGTACCTTTCTTTAAACTATTCCTTTAATTACTTTTAATGATATATTTATGCATACAAAAGGGGAGCTATTTTCAACATAATATTTGAAGCTCTATATTCCAAGAAAAAAAGCAAGATATTCCCACGTGGGACTACCCTAAATCGAATAAGAAGATATAAACAGATGAAGAAAAATGCCCTTTTACTTAGGAATAATATATCCGAGGTCCCCCTTATTTGCATAACAGAACTGCTTCACCCACGGCGCTCGGACTCGAATCAACTGTCCCCGCATTCCGTACACGGCAGGGTCTGGGAGGAGGGTCTTGTTCCCACCTCCAGCACAGTTCACGACCACATCGTATTCACCTACGAACTGAATGAGAAGAGAGTTTTGGAAATGTCTGCTCGTTGGAATCAATGTCTGGGTAAAATATTTGCTTTGTTTATGTTAAGTGGCCCATACTAGGAAATTTGTGTCCAGATAAAAGGTAAGTTTCGAGGAATGCTTGTTATCAGGTACATGTATGTCTTCATGGACACCTGTGTTTCTGACAGGTATACATTCTCTCTCGCATTATAGACATATCCGGATATAAACACACGTCCATCACACGAAGTGACCTATTTATGGAACCTGCCATTTCAACATTTTAGCAACAAAGACGGAGAAGGGTCTCCTGTCGTTTCCAAAGACAAAATTGCATGTAGAAGTTTTGCTATGAGAAAAGTAGAGATTATACGTTAATTAAATCCAAATAAGATTGTGCGATCGTGCGAACGTGGTATACAATAAACCGGATCCGGCGGAGAACAGATGTACCGAGAACAACGCCAATCCAACTTGTTTTTTGTAATAAACGGCCTTATACACACTTTGGTACAAACAATTGCATACATGTAGCCGTTTATTCAAAATGATTTAAAATCATTCATGAACTAATGCGTGTTTCGTGATGTCATGGTTATGTTGTAAAATCCATGAAGATCTATAGCACGTTTTGTTCTATTGTTAATTTTATAGTTTAAAACTATTTCAACGTACTTACAGATAAAAGTTTTAACGGTTTACCTGATCAAGATTCTCTACTCGTTGTTTGAGTATGCGTCCTCCATGAGAAGCAAACCTCAAGAAATAAAAGACGATATTTTAACACTAGTCACGAGGAAAATATTTACAGCAATCGTTAAAATTTGCACCATAAGTATTTCAAATATTGCAGCCAAATTTTATATTCTTCTGAATAACTCTTACTAATTGTCGTATTAGGCATGGCAATTAAATACCTTTTCATAAGCCAGGGTAGATACAGTTGACATTCCACGTAAACTGTCGACATGAAATAACCAGACCTAACCAATAGAATCAAAGATGGACATTATCGTTTGCCCTCTATCCTCGTTTCACGCATTGTTTAACGTTGGGTTTTTATTTATGAAATAAAATTAACCAGGTTAAAGTTCTCTATATATTTTTTCTAAAACAAAAATAATAATGTGTACAATAAAATAGGTTTACTAGCCGTAGGCTTGTACTATAACGAAAATAAGGTCCACATAAAAATGAATGGGACGACTTCATATTTGTGCGCGTATTATTCATCACATAAAAAGTGACCTTTGAAAAAGAACATATTTAACATAAATGTGATGAGTCAGTTACATTTTATTTCTCTACTCTAACTATCATCAAAATTAAAATTAATACCAGCAAATTCAAATCATGCATTTACAGTGACATCAAACTACTGTTGTACTACCTAAAATTCATGGGTAACTTTGCCAGTTCTTCTTTTGTCACCGACCGATATTGAAATATAACTTCAAGGCTCAACATTGAACTAGGCTGAAAAGCATTAACGTATATTTGATATGCACATTATAAGCAAACGTATGTATAACGTGTTCTTCATACATGCGTTTCATGTACAATATAATTACATAATTAGAATAATATGTACTAATTTATTTTGCACCAGTGACTTAAACACCTCTGTTCATTTAAAAAAATGACACCAGAATCCGAGAAGGTAAAAGATTGATTTGATGCATTGTTAAAGGATTTTTTTGTTCGAAACCCTGATAAATTTGGAAAATTACAAGAGAGAGCGAGAGAGGCTTACCTGCTCTGAAGTGTAAATATCGTACCCGGATAGCGGAGAAATTCCAGCTTTTGCTGCCTCTGCTGAGTAGGCGATTGACCCATAGTGTTGAAAGGAAAGAGCCAACCATTCCCTGCCAGAAAATAAGCTTCAAAGAGCCACCACGACTAAAAGCTTTGTGATAGATATTAATTGAAAAAGACACTCTTTCATATGAAAGAAAATTTGAAAATTAAAAAAGCATTGCATCGCATTTTGTTTCTTTTTAATTGTTCGTACATATATTTTTTCCAATTTTTATTAATATTCCATCATAAATGGGTTGCTAGCCATGTAGAATTCGATCGACGCGAGTTACTTTAAAAGGCACGAGCAAGGGGGTTGAACTCCGAGGAAGATGTGCGTTGAGTTCGTTGATAATATTCTGGTCGAATCAGGTCACGACCAATATTGCCTCTCGCCATGCAACCATTGATAGTGACGGTGTTTTGTTTACTTGTTGGATAAACTGGGTTTTACCCCACCTCTCTGACCTCTTCGTGTGCTAGCAGCCATCTGCATGGGCACTGACCTGTGCCTGCATGTGTACTTTAAGTACAGTATTCACTATAAGTCCTACCGTTTCTGTTACACACAATTTAAAACTGAGACCACCACATATACAAAACCACGTTCCAAGTACAAGTAAATAGGATTATTCATTATTATTATTAATCACAAATTAATCCACATGATAATTAATACTAATGAGAAGTGAATTTCCAGTGACGAAAGGGGCATAACTTTTCTTCACACTAGGATCTTTATCTCATGTTACATTACAGGCCTTGGATAACAGTCTGAGTACGACTGTCCACGAAACGTCCGAGTCACGCCACACTGTCCCTGAAACCATCAGGCCATGTATTTAATAGGTTTTTAGCGTGTTTGAATCACCAGAAGTTATACCATCGATTCACATATGCTATTATATATTCTATTATATATTACTCACTTAGCCCTTTCAGCCGGTACTCCTGGCGGACAGTCAGCTCGGAAGATCCCCGCTGCACCGTCGCTGGTAGTGTCCGGGGTTAGCCGTTCAGCATACACCGTAACTCGGGCGCCAGGAATTGACTCGATCACGTTAACTGCAGTGGACATTCCCACAACACCGCCTCCAATAACTGCTATTTTAGGCATATTTTCGGCACAGGGTTGAATGTGGCGGCGTTGACGATGTAAGTGTCGTAAATCGCAGAGATGCGTGCCCAGTTCAGTAGGCCTACCTACCCGTTGTACTGATATGTTTGTCGCGTAGGAGAAAAGTGCACATAATTAATCTACGGCCCTGGTAGAGGGTAGTCCTCAGCTATGGGCTATGGTGATGGGTGGGAGAACAGTTATTGGATTATTTCTGTTCTATCCGAACAACATTGTTCCGTGGGCCAATTAATTAAGGTGCATGCTTGCGATTTTTGTTCAGCATTACAATTTCATTTTGTGTTTTGGAATATATCGGGCTTATACTTATCCAATATTTGTAAAAGAAAAAACACCCAATTGTTATTGATTAAAGTTTAAACATCAGGACCACGTGCAAAGGCACTTATGGCCTACAAGACTATGTTATGTAAGTTTTGCACATACCCCTCTGTCACTCGCGGTACACCTAAACACGCACACAGATATAGACCTAAACAACTTCTCAAATTTCATAGAATATCACAAATATATGATGAGTTATAAATTTTGTACTTTCTTTAATAACACACTTTAACATCAAACCGTTGCTTATAAGGTCTCTAGGCCTACCTGTATGGTTGTATAGCAGGTATAGGCCCCAGGTATGCTGCTGTGGACTAAAGGGGGCATGGGGAATTAAAAGGCATAATGAAGTACTCCGTATTTCTAGAATCCTGCCATGGACTTCAATAGCTGCCTTCCACCCCTGCAACCCCCCCCCCCCCCCCCCCCCGCCCCGATGTACATCATACCATATAATAATGATACAAAATAATAATAACAGCTAACAACCTTTTTTAAAATGATTTTCCGGTTTTTCTCTAAAAAAGAGATATTGAAATAACATTCAACAAGTTTTTGAATATAATATTTATTGATCCCCAAAACTTATATGATGTTCAGTCTATCTTGGGCAACATAGTTCATATCGGTGGGTAGTTTTTTTGTGCAGCGCATTATTTACCTACAGAGAAGGTTGTGACTCTGAGAGTCAAAGTGTTAGTCACTACATAATATGTTTGAGTCGCATTACCTGCCCATCGTAGATACAGGGATTGAGGGAGCGGCCCTGGGTATTTAGTCTCTAAGTGATGCTGCTCTAAAAGATTAACAGGCTGTGAGCAAGCTGAAGCACCCTCGAGTCGAGGTGTTTCTTCACCAATGGTTTCTTTTGGCTGGAAGAAGAAGATTGACCAGGCAGTTGTTAAACGAAGCAGGGAAGAGTTTGAAAAAGATGCAAAAGATGTAGTTGATGAAGATGAAATTATTATACAAAATGGAGAAGTAGACTGGCTATCACTTGCACCAAAAAGAAATTGCACTGTCGCTTTGGAAGATTCATTAGCTAAAGCTGGGCGATTAAAAACAGAAGGCGGAACGTTAGCAGAGGCAGAAAGGTGGATACATAGTTGGTTCTTAATATTATTACTAGATACATAATGTGCCAAGGCGAATTCTTGTGCTTTATTTTATTATGTGTGTGTGTCTGTGTGTGTGTAATGAAATAATTGTTATGGATTGCTTATGAGGAAAATTAGAAATTAAATTAAAAGGCTGACTATTACATGTAATAATAGCAAACTGCTAATGGCAATGTGATATGTTATTTCAGGTATTGGGAGGCTTTGAAAAAGTGGGATGAAGCATTAGCACTGACCCCCAAGGATGCAACACTTTATGAAATGAAAGCTCAGGTACAAATTAGCTGCAAACTATTTTTATACTTGTGCATGTTACAGTATAGGTCATTACTGTCATTTTAACATCTTTACCAGTAGCTAACCCTGTTTTGTTTTTGCTTTAAAGTTGATTGTTGATATTTAGAAAATTATTATTAAAAGCAGGAACTTACTGATATTTCAAATATTTTATTTCCATTACAATACACTGAACAGTTCCGTTAATTATGGCCACCAATTTTTAGTTTCTTATACTTACTCCTTAATATTCTAGGCATACCTACAGCTTTGTGAAGTGTTCCCTGCTGTCCAGAGTGCTAGCAAAGCTGTTCAGCTGGCACCAACTTGGTGGGAGGCATACCAGACCCTAGGCAGAACACATCTAGGACTGGGGGAAGTGAAACTTGTAAGTAATGATGACATTTACAAGCTGTACTGAATTGGTTTTGATATAGACACAGGCACAAAAGGAATATTTTGAACTTGGTGTGAGTTGGAAAAGGAAATCCATGTTGTAAATTAAAACAGCTTGTTTTTTATTTTTTTTTTTTTTTGTAAAATGTTCTTATTATAAAGTGCTTATAAATTTTCTGCTGTTTTCTTTGTATTTTGGTCTGATTCGGCATGTTTAAAGTTAAACAAATAAAGAAATTGTAATTTTACCTGGTTAAGATAAAATGAAACCTTTAAAAGTTAAAATCACTGAAAATATGCTGTAACTGATAAAGAAATTATTTCTAATGGTAAAATTTCAGGCCTTGCGTAGCTTTTCCAAAGCCTTCCACATCAACCCATGTGATCAGGAACTTTGGGAAGAAGATTTACAGTGGACATTATCGTTATTGAGAAGAAAGCAGAACATAAAAGATCAGCTGCAGACAGTTGTACAGCAGTCTAGAATTAGTATTAGAACTTTGGAGGAAGAGAGCGAAGAATCTGGCTCTGAAAATACTGCTTTATCAGATACAGAGGCTGAAAGTAGACTGGTTCAGTTTACCTCTGGGTCAGATGAAAAACATGAAGAAGGTGAACAAAAATTGAGAAGATTGCCTGGAAACTATGTGCAAATGAGGGACACAGGTTAATTTTTGTGGTGCTTAAAATATAAAAATTTTCTTAGTTTTCAATTAAAATAAAAACAGGTGAAGATCACACACAATAGATGTGTTTAAATTAATTGTATTAAATAAATGGACAGCGTAAAGTTGGCATTAAGAAAAAAAGAGAAAAAGGAAATGCTCTGGAATTATATCGTTACCTTAAAGGTACACACAAGAGGATTTTCTGACAAAATTCAAATTCATATTCAACTAATTATCCTGGGGTAATTGGCAGTTTCCTACGATTTACCAACCTTTAATCTTCCTTTTCTAACACTCACCATAACTGTAAAATTTTTGAAGCAATAAATCAAAACCCACGCTTATGTGATGGTTTTTCAAGTACAAGGGCCATTTTCATGCTTGAACTCTCTAGACTTCTCACCCTGTGACTTCGCTAAAACCAGTTCATGCTGCCGGGAAATGACGACACAGAAGAAGAGGAACAAGCTGGTTCTTTGAAGACGTGAAGAAGGATAACAAAAAGGCAAAGGAAAAACATCCGTTACAAAAATCAATACCGGAAAAGAAAGTAGTATATCAGGAATCTACAACATGCAAAGAATAAGGAAATAGGCAGATGGAAAACTAGAAAACTTCATGATCCTGTTTTTCCTCTTTTATACATAAATATAGATTGATTAAGCACTAAATGTGTTAATTTACATTTATAGTCTCTCTAAACTACAATGTGGATTTCTGCAAGACACTTAATTTCTGTTTTACGCATTAAAGTGATAATTTACAAGGTAAATTTATACCTCAAATAAATCAAAGCTTTGTTTATGCAAGTTTTTTGTATGTTGAAGATGTTAAAAAATATTTTTAGGCGCGTATTCTGTGGAAATGACACCATAGTGGCTCCATATTGATGATGTGCAAACTTCTTGAAATGTAGGTAACACCTTTTAAAGGGTTAATTCCGCCCCAACCACAAAACTTTCTAAGTCAGTCTAAGAACGTCACACATTTCGTCGTAAGTATCTTCAGGAAGTGTACGATTTGCATTAATTTGATTATGTCGACGGTATAGGTTGAACCTGACCTCATCGACGAACTAGCACTAGTATTTTACTGATATATTTCATTATGAACACTACGAATATTGAAACAAAACTGCGGCTGTTAGGATTTCTAAGTTGTCATACATTTTTTTAACAGTGTCTTTTGTATATTTACATCTCTTTCTCTTCTTCGACTGAACACACGACAAATGTAAATAAGTTCCCTGTATGCATTTTACGTAATGGGGTTGAAATGTCTTTTCTTCCCAGAAGTTAGTGTCATTTAAAATGAATAAGAGTGCATATTCAAGTTCAAGTTCTTCACAGAGAGGTGCAAAAGTTGCAGATTTGCCCACAAACACATTTTTAGTGACAAACAGACAACATGTCCCCTCTTGGAAATGAATTTATGATAATTTAAAAACAATCACTTATTCATTATTTCTGTTTAATAAGAACTTCAAAAAAAAAAAAAAAAAAAATTCAGGTTTGAAAAGGGACGGGTACAACCTCGACCCAAAAGTATACAAAAATTGCGCTTCGAACAACATGATCAGATAGAACACTGTTCTACGACATAGTAACACAATTACATAAAGAAGTTAACCGGCAACATGCAGGGCGGACACTAAGTATGGATTTAATTTCCATGAGAAGTTTCATACCAGTAAATAAAAAGATCTATTTTTGCGACTTTTAATTTGATATACGTTTTGGAGCAGAATGTTACAACAAAGAGTAAACATAAAATTCCGTACTAAATGTCGTCCCTGCAAATTAACGAGGAGACAAACGTCGGCATAGGAGGCAACTTTGGCATGTTGACTTTAAAAATGCGTTTTTATTTTTATTTTGTGTGTGTGTGTGTGTGTGTGTGTGTGTGTGCGTGCCATTATAACTTTATCAAACCCTAATCCTCATTTCGAGATAGAGACTTATTTTGCCTTTTCATAAGCCAAACGATGATTCAAGACAATAAGATTTAAGACGTTTATTGAATTGTCTAAGACCGAAGCATCCGCACGGAAAGTAGATGACCTCTTCATCATTATGTAAATCGGGTGAGCGTTTAGGTGAGAGGTGCTCAGATAGGACCAAGGTCAGTAAAATATGGAGAAGAAGGACGTCCCATGGCATATTCCAGATATTACCACATGTAGACCGAAAGGATGACACTGAAGCCGGCAGCAGTATCTCGTAAGTTCCGTACAAATGATAGAAAATATATTGTAGCATTTCTTAGTTTTGCATTGATGATATTTTCCCAAAGATGTTGTACTCTAGGCATAATGAACTTGATATTGCGTGACTGGGCATATAAATCCGCTTTTATAGGTCGAAGGGGGGGGGGGGGGGTTGGATTGTGATTGAAAAGACAGGATTTTCACTCAATCTTACGGTACAGCGTAACCGTAATTTTACTGATATTTCTTCTTTCTGGCTTTCTTTTTTTTCATTTTCTATACTTGTTGAGACATGGATGGGCACTTTAAAAGGAAAACGTTTAAGATTTCACGTTTATTGAATTGTCTTGTATGTTACATCCATAGGCAATTTTCCATAAGTAAACTCTACAGAATTAATATTTTAACTGTCTATAAACGACTAAAACACACATATTAAAATAATGTAACGCAAAATAATTTAAAAAATTGGTCTTTATTTGTATTATATTAGAAGTTAGAGGGCACTTTGGCGTAGAAAAGAAAATGACGTTAAATGACGTAAAACCCTTTGTTTTAATGACGTAACAGGACAAAGAAAAATTATAGCGTACAATGGGACATGACGTAACAAGTAAACAAACATGTTTATTTTTGTATTGCCATGGTAACGGAATTTTGTTGTGACAAAATGATGATGTCGCTGGACACGTCTGGACATGTGGGACGTTTGTTTGTTTTGCTATGACGTCACAGGGCAAGTCTGATCATGTTAATTTCAATTCTTTAATGCATATTTATTAATAGATACAAAATAAAGTAAAGCAAAACAACATAGAATTGTATACATAATTTTTATTGAAATAAACACACACACACACACACA